AAGTGAACAGTATTTAGATAAGGCTAAAGAGGTCTTTGTGGCATTTATGGATTTGGAAAAGGCGTATGACAGGGTGGATAGGGGGGCAATGTGGCAGATGTTGCAAGTGTATGGTGTAGGAGGTAGGTTACTGAAAGCAGTGAAGAGTTTTTACGAGGATAGTGAGGCTCAAGTTAGAGTATGTAGGAAAGAGGGAAATTTTTTCCCAGTAAAAGTAGGCCTTAGACAAGGATGTGTGATGTCACCGTGGTTGTTTAATATATTTATAGATGGGGTTGTAAGAGAAGTAAATGCGAGGGTCTTGGCAAGAGGCGTGGAGTTAAAAGATAAAGAATCACACACAAAGTGGGAGTTGTCACAGCTGCTCTTTGCTGATGACACTGTGCTCTTGGGAGATTCTGAAGAGAAGTTGCAGAGATTGGTGGATGAATTTGGTAGGGTGTGCAAAAGAAGAAAATTAAAGGTGAATACAGGAAAGAGTAAGGTTATGAGGATAACAAAAAGATTAGGTGATGAAAGATTGAATATCAGATTGGAGGGAGAGAGTATGGAGGAGGTGAACGTATTCAGATATTTGGGAGTGGACGTGTCAGCGGATGGGTCTATGAAAGATGAGGTGAATCATAGAATTGATGAGGGAAAAAGAGTGAGTGGTGCACTTAGGAGTCTGTGGAGACAAAGAACTTTGTCCTTGGAGGCAAAGAGGGGAATGTATGAGAGTATAGTTTTACCAACGCTCTTATATGGGTGTGAAGCGTGGGTGATGAATGTTGCAGCGAGAAGGCTGGAGGCAGTGGAGATGTCATGTCTGAGGGCAATGTGTGGTGTGAATATAATGCAGAGAATTCGTAGTTTGGAAGTTAGGAGGAGGTGCGGGATTACCAAAACTGTTGTCCAGAGGGCTGAGGAAGGGTTGTTGAGGTGGTTCGGACATGTAGAGAATGGAGCGAAACAGAATGACTTCAAGAGTGTATCAGTCTGTAGTGGAAGGAAGGCGGGGTAGGGTCGGCCTAGGAAGGGTTGGAGGGAGGGGTAAAGGAGGTTTTGTGTGCGAGGGGCTTGGACTTCCAGCAGGCATGCGTGAGCGTGTTTGATAGGAGTGAATGGAGACAAATGGTTTTTAATACTTGACATGCTGTTGGAGTGTGAGCAAAGTAACATTTATGAAGGGATTCAGGGAAACCGGCAGGCCGGACTTGAGTCCTGGAGATGGGAAGTACAGTGCCTGCACTCTGAAGGAGGGGTGTTAATGTTGCAGTTTAAAAACTGTAGTGTAAAGCACCCTTCTGGCAAGACAGTGATGGAGTGAATGATGGTGAAAGTTTTTCTTTTTCGGGCCACCCTGCCTTGGTGGGAATCGGCCGGTGTGATAATAAAAAAAAAAAATAAAATAGTATGGCTTACGCGCCAGGGTTTTTGACGTATTAGTACGCCTAAATTCTAGCGCCCTCAAATCTAGTGAGAGAAAGCTGGTAGGCCTATATGTGAAAGAATGGGTCTATGTGGTTAGTGTGCGTGGTATAAAAAAAATCCTGCAGCACACAGTGAGTAATTAGGAAAAAAAAAACTTTGACCGTGTTTTTGAATTAAAACAGCGACTTTGCACTGTATTTTCGTATGGTATTTATTGTTGTATTCTAGTTTTCATGGTCTCATTTTATAGAATGGAAGACATACTACAGAAATAGAGATGATTTTGACTGGTTTTACAAAGAAAAGTACCTTGAAATTGAGCTCAAAGTAGTAGAAATGTTCGATTTTTACCAAAGTTCAAAAGTAAACAAATCATTCTGTGCATCCAATATACATCAACTGGTGAGTCTAATATTCTTTCACAAGTGTGCTGATATTATTTATACCATTTCTACACCAATGCAGTAGTCTGCATAACAGTAAATCTTCTATTTTTTTTGTGAGAATAAAAATTCAAAGTGGAAAGCAAAAGAATGCAAGAGAGGCATGGGGACGTGACTAATGAACAGAGAAAATGTTATTTTAGTGCCGGGAATGTCTTTCTTGTTTATTCTGGACCCTATTCGGAAATTGGCATCTTTTGAAATTTGTGTGAAATTGGCAAAATTGCTAAATTCTGACCACTGTATTGGATAGTTGAAATCGGTAAATGGGTGGTTTCTTGTACTCATTCGCTAGACAAAATGGAGTTCTAGCGAAATAGTTATGATTTTTGTCGACAAGTACACTGGAATTGGCCGAAAATAGGGCTCAAAGTGGGCAAAATTGCTGATGCGTAAACATCATTGAGACCGCTAACTTCGTGACAGCATAATTCCGTAAGTTTTCCATCAAATTTCATACTTTTGGTGTCATTATGATCGGGAAAAGATTCTCTATCTTTTCATAAGAATTTTTTTTTTTTTTTTTTTTTTTTTTAAATTTGGCCGACCCTGAGAACAAGTCTCTGAGAGGGCCTGTTGACCCTGAAAAGGTTAAGTGAGGAGTGCCTGTATAGTCAAATGTGTGATGGATCAGCTGATCATATGTACATGTGGCATCACAAGCAACTTACACCTGCATTCTGTCAAAACCATTATTTTTGATGAAATAAAAACTTGAAAAATTTTGTTTTGTTTTTAGCAGGTGCTGTGAAGCTAGCCCCATTTTGTCCCTACATTATATGTATTACATAGCTAGAAATTACATAAAATGCTGATTTCAGGAATGTAAGTTGTGTCAGTTATGTGAGGTGTTCTTCTATATATTAAACAATATTTAATAGTACATTGGTACCCTGAGTTTCAAACTTTCTTTGGTCCAGAAGGCTATTCAAGTGCTGATACCAAACAAATTTGTTCCCATAAGGATTAATGTAAATTAGATTAATCTGTTTCAGACCCCCAAAATTCACTTACAAAAGCACTTACAATAATTTACCTTCATAATTGGTTGAGTTGGGAGCAGTTCAAAACTCGGGGTACCACTGTGTTTGTAAATGAAAATGCTGTGTTAATCTTGTGTTCTAGTACAACACAAAAAAGTGTTTTTTAACAGGTGACATTATCATGTATTTTATAATGATATTCTTATTGAGTCATTATTTTAATCCCAGTTAATAAACAACTTGAACATTCTTGATAGAGATTCATGAATAAGATATGTTCAAGATACAGTGAAACCTCTACTTGCGAGTTTAATCTGTTCCATGACCTTGCTCGCAACTGGATTTGCTCGTTTTCAGAGTCAATTTTCCTCATTTAAATTAATTGAAATGCAATTAATCCGTTCCAGTGGAATTCTGTACTTCAATAATTTCGCTAATATCAACTCTATGGCTTATTTATCTATCTCACTTCATCTAATATGACATAATAAACAATATAAATAACATACAAACCTGTTATATACTCTAAAATGAATAAAATATATCATTCCTGTGGTGGTATGGGCGGTGTCTGCGGTGGACGAGAGTTTGTCTGGAGACCGGGCAAAATGCTTCATGAATAATTTCGCTAATATTATCTGTATGGCTTATTTACATATTTATTGTATTTATTATTTTTATTAATAAATACAATAAATATGTAAATAAGCCATACAGATAATATTAGCGAAATTATTCATGAAGCATTTTGCCCGGTCTCCAGACAAACTCTCGTCCACCGCAGACACCGCCCATACCACCACAGGAATGATATATTTTATTCATTTTAGAGTATATAACAGGTTTGTATGTTATTTATATTGTTTATTATGTCATATTAGATGAAGTGAGATAGATAAATAAGCCATAGAGTTGAATAATTTCGCTAATATTATCTGTATGGCTTATTTACATATTTATTGTATTATATTATTATATAATTATTATTATACACCTACCATCCGACTTACGACCTGCTCGACTTACGACGACTCGACTTACGACTGTGTTTTTTATGCCAAATTTCTGGGAAATAAACAAGTGTTTGTGTTGTACACAGTGTTTATCCTAAACCTTACAGTATAAAATACAGTACTAACAGCATAAAAAGTAAAGTAAAACATGAAATACCAAAATAAAACAATAAAATAAGTCATTACTAAAATGTTATGTTGATATTCAGTAGTAAAGTTCGACTTACATCCATTTCGACTTACGACCGGTTTCTCGGAACCAAACTTTGTCGTAAGTCGGATGGTAGGTGTACATATTATTATTATTATTATTATTATTATATAAAAAAATTGTAATTTTTATTCATACAAATATAAGCTTTACTGTTATTCCTTATTGCAATAATTGTATAAATAATGTCAACCCATTCATGACTGCATATTGGAATGTTTACTCTGAAACAGCCAAGCAATGAACCATTTCTCCTAGGTTGAGCTCTATTTCAAGGTACTTTTTGTCGTGAAAGCAATTAAAATCATATCTATTTCTGTAATATATCTTCCATTCTATCAAATGAGACCAAACAAACAAGAATACACCCATAAGAACCATTCAAAATTACTGCTAAGGGGTGGCTGATTGCTGAAAAGTGAACTCCATTATTTATGCTTAGATTTTTTTCATTTTTGGTGTACGTTAAGAAGCATCTTTCCATCATACATTGCCCAAGTTTCAATAAGATAGTCCAACAAACAAATGAGATACACTTCCCGAGATCAAGATCAAGATCAAGATCAAGAGCCCCTCACCATTGTCAAGGAACCAGCCTTGAGGTCTGCTCGCTTGTGGAAATTTTGCTCGGGTATGGAAGCAAAAAATCGACCCATCGACTGCACGTATTTGGAAAAACTCGCACGTGGACACACTCGCAAGTAGATGTTCCACTGTATAAGGAACTTACAGTTAAGAAATATTGTCTCTCAACTTATATAGGAGACAGATTATTTTCATTAAAAAGTTTTTCATAATTTTTTCTCTATTGTAAAACTACAGTACTTTCTAATTCCCCCCTGAAAATATTAGTGTACGTGAATCAGAATTTAATAAACGCTTATTGAAACTTCATATTTATGAAGCTGTGTTTATAATCTTTTCTTTTCTCTTACAGATCATCTTTGCATCAGAAAATTTTCATATTTGAAACACTCAATACTATAAGGTTCATGTGAGTATCAGAAGCACATCATACAGTGTCAACATGAGTTATATAAACTATAAAAGCATTATCGTCATCTTTACTTTTCCTCAGTATCCTGACGTCCTGACTAATACATCTGCACTCTGAGATATAAGATCAATCCATTCATTAAAATATTGTTATATTTTAGTTCAGTACTCAGTATATATATTATCATTATCTTATGATTGACCCGTGATGAAAGAAATGTTAATATTAAAAAATCTAGAAATACTTTGGCTAACACTATTATGCAGTGTGAACGAGTAGTCTTGTGGTCGCTTTTTATGGTGGTACCTTGTTCATGGTGGTACCTTTTTTATGGTGGTACCATTCTTATGGTGGTACCTTGTTCATAGTGGTACCTTTTCTGGTAGTGTTAATTTTGTAACTGATAGTTGTAGTAGGACTTTTTATAATTATTATTTGAAAGATAAGTAAATACTAAAGCTAGAAGTATCATATAGTGCTGACACTTTTTATAAGCTTTCATTTAGGTGTATTAGTCTTGTTTATACATCTGTGTAATCAATTAAGTCAAACATCAATAACCAACAAATGTATAAACATTGTCAATAAAAAGTGTATTAATCACATATTATTTTTACAACAGTAAGTTACTTTTTTTACTTAAGCCATTTAACTATTCATTGCCAAATAGAGAGTATATAATTAAAAGTTGTATGTCCCTCACATGTGTTTTACAAAGCAAATATTATATTTATTGTAAGATAATGTAGCAGCAGTTTGTGCTTGTAAGTTCCATCTTTGTCACTGATAATGTTGCAAAACATTTTTGCACAACTCTTAATAATTGCTTGACGCATTTCTTCCGCTGCAAAACAAAAAACGGTTGACTGCAAAACGACATGTAGTATTTTGATGTTACAGACTAAATAGGCTTTCTTTTTATTTATGCATCACTGTATGTTGTATAATAACTGAGATGCAGTCTTAATGCCATAACATACAAGTAAAAAGCTTCCATGGACAAAATGTAAAATTTTTGGTAATATTAATTCAAGATAACCTTGAAATAAATCATACAAACAAGGGCAATATTTTTGAGGGTTCATAACAAACTTTTATTTAAATTCATATATGTAGTAAAATGTTAGTAGACAACAGTGGAGAAAAAACGCTTACGTTTGTGTCCATAATTTTTTTTTAATTAATCTTGTTAACATATTGATGATAAAAAAAATCAGTGTCACTGTTCAGTGTCATAAAGACTAAAAAAAACTTTCCCTGTAAGACATAATATTAAGACTATTAATGTTCAGAAGAGTTGTCATTAAGAGTGTCCTCACAAGAAGGGTTTGTAGTCTTAAGAATCAGAAAATAAAAAAAAATTGTGCTGATGTGTGTGCAGGGTTACTGTATTCATAATTAAATTACCAGTGATCTAATATTCCATAACCTGTAAAAATAAGTAATAAATATATGTATTTGAGTAATATGAAAAACAAATTATGGGCTTATACTTACCTACGAAGTATTTTCAATTTTTAGTGCTAATGTCAAAACACCTGTTGCGGTAATGCAAATGATAGTTAATAAGGAAGACAATCCTCTACAATGTTCAGAATGTTTAAAAGACTTTTCGAGTAAATGTTCTCTGTTAACGCATCTGAGAACTCATATAGTGAAGAAACGATGTCAGTGTTTAGTGTGTTTGAAAGATTTTTCAAAAAACTCGGAGCTAGTGAAGCACATGAGAACTCACACTGGAGAGAGACCATATCAGTGTTCCCAGTGTCTAAGAAAATTTTCAACAAAATCTATTCAAGTGAAACACATGAAAACTCACACAGGGGAGAAACCATTCCAGTGTTCAGAGTGTCTGAGAGATTTTAAAGAAAAATCTAATTTAGAGATACACATGAAAACTCACACAGGGGAGAAACCATTCCAGTGTTCAGAGTGTCTGAAACATTTTGCCAGAAAATCTTATTTAGTAAAACATGCAAGAATTCACACGGGGGAGAAACCATATCAATGTTCGGAATGTCTAAAAGATTTTGCAAGAAAATGTTATCTAGTGAGGCACATGATAACTCACACGGGAAACAAGCCGCATCAATGTTCAGAGTGTCTAAAAGTTTTTTCAACAACATCTCATTTAACAATACACATGAGAACTCATACTGGAGAGAGTCCCTTTCAGTGTTCAGAATGTCTAAAAGACTTTAAAGACAAATCAAATCTAGTGGCACATATAAGAACTCACACAGGGGAGAAACCATATCAGTGTTCCCAGTGTCTGAATGAGTTTTCACAAAAGCTTCAGTTAATGAAACACGCAAGATCTCACATTGGAAAGAAACCTTATCAGTGTTCAAAGTGTCTAAAAGATTTTATAGGAAAATCAAATCTGGTAGCACACATGAGGACTCATGCAGAGGAAAAACCTTTATCATTGTTCAGAATGATCAAGAATAAATAACTCAGATTTACTGCAACACATGGTAACTCAGGGTTAAAACTATATTAGCCATGCATGTTGTGAGAGATGACTAAAATGCCTGGAGCAAGGGGTTAGTAACCCTTTCTCCTGTATGAATTACTAAACTTAAAAAGAGAAACTTTCGTTTTTCTTTTTGGTCACCTTGCCTCGGTGGGATACGGCCGGTACGTTGAAAGAAAGAACAATAACAATTTTGTAAAGTATAAGGACACAAGTGCAACTAATGTGACATTTTATTGTGGCAACCCTTTGCTCTCCAGGAGCTTTTCAAGCTGTTACAAACAATACATGGACACAGAGGGTATATATAGGCTTAGAGTGAGGTGTAATACTTGTGGTGGTAGTAATAGTAGTAGTAATATAAGTTGTACTAGTAGTGGTAATACAATATGGTAGAACAGTCAACTTGCACATGAATAAAAGGTTATAAAAGCTGTTAGTACTTGGGTAGCATAAAAATAGGTTTGACAAATATTTCTGTTGGTGGTTGGATCTGAGGTCTGTTTCAGTGTTCCTCCTCTGTTGTGTTCTTGTGTAGCAGACTATGTGATGGCAGGGTTTACTGGTTTGAGGAGAATTTTTGCTAATACCTCAGAAATAATGAAGCTGCCTTTATTTTGTTTGATTGTGTTAGAAACAGCAATTAATGATGATTCAAGGAATTTACGCCTACGGAAATTTGGCTCTCTGATTACTGGTCGGGTGCCGTTGAATTTCATGAGGTGATTGGTGGAATTCCTGTGTTGTACACAGGCGTTGTTCAAGTTATCATTCCTACATGCGTTAATGTGTTCATTGAGGCATGTTTCGAGGTTCCTAGCTGTTTCACCTACATGTACAGGTACCATCCGACTTACCGAGTTCGGTTCCGACCAACCGGTCGCAAGTCAAAATGGACGTAAGTCGAACCTTACTACTGAATATCAACATCACATTTTCGTGATGACTTTATTTTATTGTTTTATTTTGGTATTTCATTGTTTACTTTACTTTTTATGCTGTTAGTACTGTATTTTATACTGTAAGATTTAGGATAAATACTATGTACAACACAAACAATTGTTTATTTTGCAGAAATAAACAACTGTTTGTGTTTTACATAGGTCGAATGGTTGTATGTCGAGCAGGTTGTAAGTCAAATGGTAGGTGTATTCTGTCACAGCCTCCACAATGTATAGTGTAAACTCCTGCATTGACTGGTTCATGGTGGTTCAGTTTTGTCCTGGTTAGATCCCTTATGGAAGTGCTGGATGTGATGGCGACTCTAGTGTTAGTTTGTGCGAGTAGCTTGGAAACGTTCAGTGCAACCTGTCTGTTGGGAAGGATAACACTCTAAGATTTCAAGTTTACCACAAACCTACCAATAAAAATGATCTCACCCACTTTTATTCCAGTCAAGGTACTAAGACCAAAAGAGGTGTCATCATTGGATTTTTCCTAAGAGCATACCGAATTTGTAGTCCTAAGTTTCTTGATGAGGAATGTACTTACATACACCAAACCTTCACTGATCTACATTTTCCTTCCTTTTTCATCAAAGACTGCATAAATTCTATAAACACAAACACCACTCCTAACAAAGTTATAATCCTTCCCAACAGCCAGGTTGCATTGAACGTTTCCAAGGTACTCACACAAACTAACACTAGAGTCGTCATCGCATCCAGCACTTCCATAAGGGATCTAACCAGGACAAAACTGAACCACCATGAACCAGTCAATGCAGGCATTTGCACTATAACTTGTGAAGGCTGTGACAGGATATATGTAGTTGAAACAGCTAGGAACCTCGAAACATGCTTCAGTGTACACATAAACACACGTAGGAGTGATAACTTGAGCAACGCCTGTGTACAACACCAGAATTCCACCAATCACCTCATGAAATTCAACGACACCCGACCAATAATCAGAGAGCCAAATTTCTGCAGACGTAAATGCTTTGATTCATCATTAATCACTGTTTCTAACAATGAAGCAAAATAAAGGCAGCTTCATCATTTCTGAAGTATTAGCAAAAATTCTCCTCAAAACAGTAAACCCTGCCATTACATAGTCCACTACCCAAGAACACAACAGAGGAGGAACACTGAAACAGACCTCAGATCCAACCACCAACAGAAATATTTGTCCAACTTATTTATATGCTACCCAAGTAACAGCTTTTATAACCTTTTACTCATGTGCAAGTTGATTGTTCTACCATATTGTATTACCACTATTATTATAACCTATATTACTACCACCACAAGTATTACACCTCACTCTAAGCCTATATATACCCTCTGTGTCCATGTATTGTTTGTAACGGCTTGTAAAAGCTCCTGGAGAGCAAAACGTTGCCACAATAAAAGTCACATTAGTTGCACTTGTGTCTTTTTACTTTACATACTGTCAGTAATTCTACCAACATTTAATAAAATAACAATTATATTTTAGCATGATACTTGTTTAATAATAATTTTATTTCTACAAAAACACGTAGAAGGTATACAGGCCTAGCTAACATCAATGACATACTACTAGGTACTATAGAGAAAGCTGCTTGTTGTGCTCTCAGAGCATTTTGGGCAAATTAGGTCAGTTTTGTTCCAGGAAGCGACCCACACCAGTCGATTAACTCCCAGGTACCCATTTTACTAATGGGGAACATGCCCAATTTTTCTATCCTTGCTGGGAATCAAACCCAAGCCCTTGCTGTGTGAAGTGAGAGCTTTAACTACCAGGAGTGTAACAATTTGGTGCATATGCCAAAAGCCCCTTTATATGCAGAGCATGTCGGGCAAACTTAAGACTAACTTAGGATTAATAAGGCAATAACAGTTCTGTAATTGTACATATGGTCATTAGGTGAGTTACAGTGAATACAAGAAAAATGAATAATCAACTAGTTCACACTATATGGCTTTAATAAGTTAGGTAGAGAAGAATTATAGTTTTGATATAGTACGTATATAAAAAATACAGTATTACAATTTGGCACAATTTAAAACAACGAAGTTGAAACAATTGTAAATTTGAAGTAATGATTAAATAGTTAATCAATCATCAACACAATTTACAAGTATTACAATTTAGTGCAATTTAAAGCAATGAAACAGAAACAATTGAAATTTGAAGTAAATGATCAAATAGTTGAGCAGTCATAAATTATTGAGTTTTTTTTTTTTTTGTAACTCGTAGGTGTTAAGTACATATAATGTTTGGTTAATTTTGGGCAATGAGGTGATTTCTAAGTAGGGCTGTAAATTGATTTGCAGGCAGGGGCCTTTTAGTGTGCATAGCATTTTTGCATAAGGAGAGATGGACATGAGGGATATCAAAAAGCGATTTGTGCCTTATGATATGCCTGTGTTCTGTTATAGTTATAAAGGAGGAGTTTGAGAGGAGGGTTAATATTTGAGTGTAATGTTCTGCGTGTTACCTAGGCACAATAATAAGTGTGGATGTTTTGCATATTAAGCAAGTTAAGCATCTTTTAAAAAGCGGGGGAGTGTGCTGTCTAGTACATGAGTTGGTAATCAATCACACTGCAGCTTTTTGCTGGGTTATTAAAGGTTTAAGGTGATTTACTGTGGTTGAGCCCCATGCACAAATACCATAGGTGAGGAAAGGGTAAATGAGAGATTTGGGGTACATAGTACTGTATATTTGAAAGGATGCCTACTGTTTTGAAGACTTTCTTGAATATATGCTGTATGTGGGTATGGAATTTGACATTGCAGTCAAGGTGAAGACCTAGAAATTTGCCCTCTGTGTGTCTTGAAATGGGTGAACCATTTATCAGTATGTTTAGCTGTACATTTGAAGCTCTATTTCCAAATATCATGAAGTAGGTTTTGTCTATATTGAAAGTTTGTTGGTAGTCATCCAAGTAGATGTGTTGAGTAGTTTGTTATTTACAGTGTCTGTCAGTATAGTTGGCTTTGGGTGAAAGAAGACATAAGTAGTGTCATCTGCAAATAAAATGGGTCTAAGGAGTTTAGATGCATTTGGGAGGTCATTGATATAAATGAGAAAGAGACGTGGGCCAAGGACACTCCCCTGTTGGACTCCAACAAGAACAGGTTGCATAATGGAGTTAGCTCTATTTGTGTATACATACTGGGTTCTGTTGCTAAGATAAGATTTTAAGTAATCGAGAGAGTGTCCTCTGACCTCATAATGTTCAAGTTTTAGGAGCAATAGGTCATGGTCAACTGTATCAAATGCTTTTCTTAGGTCAATGAAAAGTCCCAGGGAAATTTCATTTTTTCAAGTGACGAATATATTAGTTCAAGCATATGCATAATTGCATCGTTTAAATCTAAACTGACAAGAGTTAAATATATTGTGGGACACTAAGTAGGATTAGATTTGTTTGTGAATTAATTTTCAAAGATTTTAGATAGTTGGGGCAAGTTTGATCTATGCCTATAGTTATTCAATTTAGTTGGATCACCTCCTTTAAGGATTGAGGTGATCCTTTCTGTCTTGAGTTTGGATGGGCAGGTGAAAGATTCAGTGGATTTGTTAAAAAAGAGTTTGAATAATAGGTGATAATACATGAGAAGCTTTGTTCTTTAGTGTTTTGATGATGAGCGAGATTTCAGTAGAGTTTGTTGGGGCTCGAAATAGAGTATTTGGGTAGTTACTAGTGAGGTAGTCTTTTGGCTGAGTGAGTTTGGAATTTTGTTTGCTTGCTTTGTTCCTACGGCTGAGAAAATAACATTAAATTTGTTGGCAGTATCTGTTCAATGGAGGAGAGGTTCTTCTGGTTTTGTTAAGTTAATCACTCCGTTGTGAGACAGCTCTTTAAATCCTAGAATTTCAGATAGGGTTTTCCAGGTCTTTTTCTTATTCCCTTTTTTTTTTATTTTTATTATCACACCGGCCGATTCCCACCAAGGCAGGGTGGCCCGAAAAAGAAAAACTTTCACCATCATTCACTCCATCACTTTTATGTCATAAAATCTGTTTTTGTAATACAGTTTTTTAGACCGTATTAGATTAGTTAGTATGGACAAGCAACATTTTGTCAGTTCCTTTGTTATTAGACAGGAAATGTCATAGAGATTTTTGTGTCTAGTATTGTCCATGGGTCCTATTGCAAATGTCAAGAGAGCACTTCAGGTCACGATTTATATTGGAATTGATTGTTCTGTAAATGTAGTTTGCACAGTAGAATGAGTGGATCTTTTGTATAATGAGTAGGTTTAAATCTTTGAAAAGTGTGGGGGGGATTGTTTAGCTGTGGATTGTGTGATCATTTGCACTGGAGCTTTTTGTTGGATTATTATTGGCTTTAGGT